AAGATTCTGCCACAATAGCAAAAAGGCATGTTACTATGTAGCCAAGGACAGGAGCAAATTCAAGCCACCTGTAATCCTAGGGTTCTAGAGTAAGGCTCCAGAGGCAAACAGAAGCTATGGCAGATAGGAGCCAGCCCTCTGCCATCGAGGTCCCCTGCTGCTCTGAGCCCAGCTGTGCAGTAAGGCTCAGGTCGTTTCCTTTGCCTTGCTTTTGCCTCTCACCCAGATCTGCTGCTCACTCCTCCAGTTCTTCCTTTGCAAACACGGTAAGGGGAATGGAGTAAAGGGCTGACCAGTCTGCTTATTGTGGGTGTGCCGGACTCCCAAGGAGCTGGCTGCCTGCAGACTGCATGACTGATTCCAGCTTCCCCAATGCTGAGTCCAGTCAGCTCATTTTGGGGTACCAGGTCACATCTTCTGCAGGAGCCCCAGGTGAGGGGGCTTTCTGCATGGCCCTCTCCATAATGGGACACATTTCTCACTAAGCTCAGTTCCTCCAAAGTTCTTCCCTCTGCCCACTTGGAAAGAATACATCTCTCAGGTTCGCTGAAATCTCTGCTCATGGAAGGCTTTGCTTCCGTCTCACATTGTAGACTTATTTTAATGAATGAACATAAAGCATTCACATGTGCCAGAGAATATTTGCTCAATGCCTATTGCCATCTATGATGCTGTGACCTTTGAGGCTTTGGAGAACAATAAATTGTGGTCTCTTCTCACTAAAACTGAGCTAGTTTTTCATGAACACTGTCTCTCATCTGCTTCCTACAAATCCACTCACACCCTGTATCACAGATTTTCTGAAACTTTGACTAAAGTTTTGCAAGGTCATTGGGAAGGACAACATCAATTGTGATTAGGGTGCAGCTTAGCACCTGGCCTAAGTGCATGGGATGGTAAGGGTGCCTTACACCCTGACATGTAGTCTGCAGGGAGCAGAGGATCTGCCAATAACGTGAACTTATTTAACCAATTTATTTCTATGTAGAGTCCTCTTTATATTATATTCTCTTGGGTTGCAGTGCTTGTATTGAATTTTATTCCTGCTTTACTTCTGTTTAAGGCATTTCCTGATTTTAGTGTCAACTTGCCCTTAATGCATTTATAAGATTTCTTAGCATTAAATGATAAAAAATGATAATCACTATCATTATTTTATCATTTCTCCTTCACTTCGCTTTTAAGTTGCAACTCTGATTTTATGATGACACAGTTATAAGTGATACTAAGGAACTGATCTAAAATATATTCTTCAGCATAAGCAGCAGGTGTTTTGTTGTGAATCTGTGAATTTAGCAATTTCTTTACTAACTTAATTGTTTTTGAAGGTTATGTTTTTGGAGTCATTTTGAATTTATAGAAATGCTGCTGAGTATCACATAGAGAGCCAGTTACTCTTTATTCTATGATTTTTCAGCCATTAACATATCTGGGAAGTCACAAACATATTGCTGTATGGCTCCAAAGACTTCAGGGCGTCTATTAAAGTGGGTAATTAACATTGAACCAGTGCTACCATGTAAACTATAGGCTTCATTCAAACTTTGCCAGTTATCTCAATAATGCTGTTTATGTTCAACATCCAATCCAGGATTGTATACCTTTAGATTTTGTGCCTTTCAGTGTCCTTCAAGCTGGGTCAGTTCCACTTCTTTCTTTGTCTTTCATAACCTTGATCCTTAGCTATTAACTCTGTAGAATGTTTGTTGGCTTGGGATTGATATTATCACCTGATTTATGGCTTCTTGATTTATGAATTTTTGCAGGTCTGCCACCTAAAAGTGTGTTATAACAGAGGCAAGTGTCCTGAAATCAGTGATGTTTACTTTGATTATTGGGCGAAGTTGCATTTCCTGGATTCTCTGTGCTAAAGTTAATATGTATTATGTAAATATAAATCGATCAATAATTATAAGTTCATCATGGGGAAATACTTTGAGGCTGTGTAAATGCAGTCAATTCTCATTATTCTTCATGGTAGTTATGTTCTATAGAGTCAGCTTGAATATGGAGTTAGTGAATACCGAAGCTTTGCTCTAGGGGAGGTGCAGGATGGATTCCTGTAACCATCTAATCATCGGCCCATTAGCCCAGGATTCTGTGTAAAGACCCCTTTTTAATCTATGTTGTTGATTTATTACCATGTAAGTAAGCAGAGTCCCCAGCCTAACACAACGAGAAGAAGGTGACGGTACATTGTGCAAAGGAGCCTCACCATGTGGGAGTTGAAGCATGAAGATGCAGTGTCCCCCGTTTCTGCCTCAACTGGGAGGGGTCGAGTTGGATGACTGAAACCTTCGCTTTTCTGAGCATGGCTGTGTGAGCTGTTCAAACTTTCATTTTGGTTAGCATTTAAGTTTTAGCAAATATGAAATTTACAAATAATGAGGATCAACTGTACCTCATTCCTGTCAGAGTTTCACTTCCAGTTTTCTCATCCATTAACCTCAAATTGCCCCAGCTTGTCCTTAGGAGATCCTTCAAGAGGTCTTTCTGACATACGGTGAGCATTTCTTTACTTTCCCGTTCAGTAAGGTTTTCTAAGCTTGTCTTATATTCTGTCTGCACCTGCTCTAAAGTTAAACATTTCTGGTTTCTTTTAGTGAGAAGTGGTTTGTAAAAAGCAGGAACTGGGTGCTAGGTGGACTCATTTCTACCAGAGTCTCTTCTTTTTTTTTTTTTTTTTGTCTTTTTTGAGACGGGGTCTCACTATGCAGTTCAGGCTGGCCTTGAGCTCACTTTGCAGCCCAGGCTGGTCTCGAACTCCCAACGATCCTCCCACCTCAGCCTCCCGAGTGCTGGGATTACAGGCGTGAGCCACCACGCCCAGCCTGAGTCTCTTTACTTCTAAACCCTGCTAGCAGGCAGAACTAGGAAATAATGCCCCATCCATATCACGCAGTCTATCCTAGATATCAGTCCTACCTTATTGCCTGTCAACTTACCCTACTCAGCGATTGCTATCTAATCCACTTATCTACCTAATTGGTTCAGACCAGTCCCCACAGATCCAACCTGATATCTAACTGTCCCTCTTTTAGTATTGTCATTCCCTTCTCTAGCAGTTAGAAAACTGACTCCTGTGATTCTGTGCTTAGTAGCTTGGCCCTTCTGTCTATCAGGTAACCCCTAGCATCACTGATGGAAGGTACAATATTGGATCCTGTGGCTCTTGGCTTCCTCTGTCCCAGTTAGCAAAGGGTACGCACAAGGTGGAAGAAAGAACAAAGCTAATTCAGAGGTTTTGAAAGTTTGGATTTTTGTAAATTCTTATTAAACAGCAGCATACTTTTATTTTTTAAATGAAAGAGCAGAGAGTATCATCAGGTATACTTTTAGGTACCTTTGAAACTAGAAGGCTGTTTTATGATACAAACTAGATCTAAAAGAAAAAATTGTGATGTAATTATCATTTAAAATATTCATGTGATAATACATTGTCTTTGTGTATTAAAAATGATTTTATATTTCTCCCATGTGATTTATATTCAACACACAACCTTTTAATATACAAACTTAACAATTTGAATATTTAAATGTTGATAGGTAATTCTAATTTTCTAATTTTTACATTTTGGATATGACATTTCAATTTATCAAGAAAGTATTGGACAGTTTTATGGAATGCTTTGATTATATGTGTTGTTTGATGGTAAAATTATGCAGATTAAATTTGTTTAAAATGTTAATTTAAACTTTAAAAATTGAATTACTATATTAACACTAAATTTAATTTAAATTTTTAAATGATAATGGCAGATAATCTTCACTTTCCATGTTTTTGATTCTGGTAAATAGGAGGCTATGAATTCTAATCTTAATGAAAGTTGTTGATTAATTTAATGAAATGACATTGTTATGTTAGAGGGTAAGGAGATAGCTGTTTGCTGAGATGACTACTGCCAAAATAATATATCTTATCTTTTCCACAAAGGTGTGAAAAGATCACATAAATATGCATTAATTCATATTGTAAACATGCAAAAGAATTACAAAAGTATATATATAAGAATCTCCTTTTATTCTTCTCTTTCCCAATCTCAATTTTGTTCACAGAATTTAAGCCTTTAAGAGTTTGGTATTATGTGTATTGAGAAGTCTGCAATTGACCACACATTGTTTCATTTTTACTTGAATATGATTATATATACACATTTATATGTTTCTGTAGCTTTTTCAGTAATGAAAATATTTCTTAGAGTTACTTCATGTTGATCTATACAGCTCTACTCCATGTTTAACTGTTGGGGTTTTCATTAAACAGCAATGCCACACATTATCTAAACATTTCACATTGCTGGACATTTGTATTTCCCTTCCCTGTTTTTACTATTTTATACAGTGCTGCAATGAAAATAATTATGCATATATTGGAGGCATGTTCTGTGAAATAAATGCATTAATTTAGGGATGAGGCCTTTCTTCCTCTCTTGAGGAACAGCCTCGCAGCTGTCAGGCCCATCTCTGGCTTCTCTCCTCCTCGGAGATGGTGGCCTTTTGCTGTCCAGCCTGAAGGCACATGGACATATCTGACTTGCTGGTCTCATCCTTTTTAGCTTCTTTAGCTATGATTATTCCTGTTTTGTAAATGCGGCTGGAAAATCAGAATGTGTCATTTAAGGTAGTCCTGGAGGTACTTCTTAATTTTAATAGCCTAAACAGAGAGGAATGAATCAATGAAAAATACTGAGGATTTATTTCAAATGGTTTTTGAAATAGGAATTGTAGATTAGATACTGTTTGTAAGGATATTTTGCATGGTTATGTTTTTAGATATATAATTTCCTTATTCTGGTTGAAAGTTTAAACAATGAAGCCAAAACCAAACCTGTTTAATACAGGGGATGGTCTCGAGTCATCATCAGATCGGTGTGTTTTTATTCTTTTGTGGCATATATTGGTGTATGGCTATTTCCAGTTCATTTCAGAAGCAGTTCAGTTTTATTTTGTTTTCCATCTATTGTTTATAACATTCATTTGTCATTTTTGTCATTTTGTAGACCTACCAAGAGCAGCTGTCAGGATCTTAAGCAACATGACATTCCTTTTTGTGAGTCTGTCATACACAGCTGAGAGTGCCATTGTAACTGCTTTCATTACCTTCATTCCCAAGTTCATCGAGTCACAGTTTGGTATCCCAGCTTCCAATGCCAGCATCTACACTGGTAAGGCTCGGCCACGAGGGCTACTTGCAAAATGATCCTTTTGTCCACTAGACTGAAATGGAATGAATGAAGAAAAAGAAAGTTCAGTCTGACATCAAAGTGTTAAATGAGTTGATTATCAGTTACCCATCACCCAGATTTTAGGAGGAGGAAATCATGGAAAGTGTTTTCTTTGGTTCCAGTTATATTTCCTGGGACATGTTTATTGACTGTATTTTGGGAAGGCAGAGTTTTGCATATTTATGTTTTTAATTTTAGAAAATGAAATAAGCAACCATGTTCAAATTTAAATTTGAATTGGTCTTTTTAATGAGTTAGAATGGGCCTTGAAGTGTTAAGTTCTAAAAATAAGTGGTAATGTTGAATATAGATCAAGCCTGTGATATTTCCTCTTCATAAATGTGAACAGATTTTAATTGAATCATTGGAGGTGCTTAAAATTACAAAGGACATTTGTGAATTTTATTTTAGATGTCTTATATCGGCAAAAGCTGATTTTTAAGAGTTTCTGATACATATTCTTGTAGTACTTAGTATCCAGATATTCTTTCTTAGTGAATTTGACACCTAGAAATGTGGGAACATTATTCTCAGATATTGGGGGAGCTTTCAGTGTATTATGTTGTATCATATTCCACACGTGTCCTTGGTGGTATTAAAGAATCAATGCCATGTCTTCCTAAAGGCTCATTTTATTAATAAAAAAATATATAAACAGTGTAGAATAATGATAACTTTTCAGATGTCTTGGGCTCCCATCTTTTCATTTTATTGAGATTCCACGTTCAGGCTCAGTAAGCTTGACTTATCTAAAAAAAAAAAAAAGCAGGAGAAATGATATCACTGTAAAAAAGGAAAGTTGATTTGAAATGTTTGTGTAATTACTTTGTTCTCTGCTTCATCTTATACATATAAAGAGATAAAATTGGGTTCTGATACTTTTTCATAAAAAAAATATCCTGCTGTGGACTGTTATAATTTGGCCTTAAAAATATAGTTTTTTCCGTGTTGATTTCAGAAGCATATGCTTTCATATATTAAGGTAAAATGTGCAGTTGGGCTGTCAGAAAATTGAAACTTTCCATTCCTAATTTAGCTTTTTCACTGACCTTTTGCTGAGTCAGTGACTCTTGGAGAAACCAAGAGCTAGCTTGTAACTAGACGCCAGCTTCTAACTACTAAGGTACAGTGGTTTCAAGCATTTCCCAAATTATGTTTCAACATTAAAAGGTGTTACTGGAAAGAAGGTTCACAGCCAAGTAAATGTAGGGTTTGCTTTAAAGTGTAATAGCGTTCCTCCCTGCAGACCTGTTCAGTGTGCCCACACCCACTGTGAAATTCCCCGAGGCAGATTCAGACTAAGGTGTTTTCCAGATTTATTTGACCACAAAACTCCCTCTAATGGAGGCTCTTTCTTATGAACAATCTTCCTCAGGACAATGAGGAACCACCCTGTGTGCCTGGGTTCCAGCCACACTTTGAGCCGAGCCGTGCTGTCTAGGTCACACCATTTCCTGTAGATTCTCGGTGCTGACCCTGGGGCTCCTGGGCTGAGCTAGGAAGGCCTGAGGCAGTCTGAGTGCGTGTTGACCAAGGCCATCTCTTAGGGCTGGTAGAGAGGGAAGCTGGACAGACATTCTTCGTGGAAAAGTGGAGCAAGAGTCCAGCTGGGTGTTTGAGGGGTGCGAGCGGGGCAGCACTTACCAGGTGTGGCAGGAGAATTGCAGGGTAGACCAGCTGGGGAGTCTGTGCATCGTGCACCACTGCAGCGGGAGGCAGCGGTCTCCAAAGTACCACTGCATTCTGGTTTTGTCAACAGCTGGCTTTCTCCCTTCCTCTCCCTCCAGGCCGCCCTCCTTCCTCCCTCCCTCCCTCTCTTCCTTCCTTTCCTGCCCCCCTTTCTTTCTTTCTCTTTCAATGCAGTGCAATTTATGTAAACTTTAATAGTTCACTGTGTTCTGCTAGTCTCAGCTCATATACTTCCCATTTACAGATAGATAATAAATAGTATCCCTGAAACACAATGCTTAAAGAGGAGAGGGCCGTCTGTTATATTAAGTAAGACTGAGCAGAGATGATAATGCTTTTAAAAACGCCTATTGATTTTTTAATCAATCGAATCTTTCTTACTTGCTAAACATAGATTTTTATTTTAAGGACTTATTTAGATTGAGATCTTTTGTTTTCTGAATCCTTTTTTATGCATGTATAGTGACATGGAGCATTAAGAAATTTATCTGAACAGCATTTTTTTTTTTTTTTTTGTATTTTTACCGGTACCAGGGATCAAGCTCAGGACCACAGGCTTGCAAGGCAGGTGCTTATGCCACTGAGCTAAATCCCCAGCCCCTGTGAACAGCATTTTTAGTTAAATCTTTTATTTTCTCAGTGCTAGGAATGGAACCAAGGGCCACATACATACAAGATAAGTGTTCTACTACTGAACTACACCTCCAACACCCTCAAAATCCTTTTAATTTCTTATCTAGTAAAGTTTTTGAATTTTAGTTCCCTTTTCATTTGAAAAAACTTTATTTGGATAAAGTCCTTGACTTGTCACGACAGTGTGCTCGTGTTGCTTACACACTCCACAGGCGGGTCTTTCATACCCTCGTGGGCCAGCACACCCAGATGAAGCACAGTGCCTGTGTATGGCGGGGAAACAGTCCAGCTGGGACCTCAGAGTGCTCACAGACCTGAGAGGGAACCTTACAAAATGTGAGGAAACGCCATTTAAATGGATGAATAGAAGGCGTGGCCTGCAGAGATCATTTGGCTGGTTGGTAGAGTGCTGTGCTTGAGTTACTTTTCATGCAGCAAATGGCTTTTTAAAGAAAAGCCAAATCTGTCCATTTGAAGGAGGGAGGAATGGTGTCTGTTTTCTGTGGAGGAGCTGCTTGAACAAAAGCAAAGCAAAAGGGAAAGATAAGATAGAGCTTATTCTTGAAAAAAGAAGGGAAGAAAGGAAGAAAAAGAAAGAGAACTACTAAAAGAAAGAAAGCAAGAAAATAAGCAGTTCACCTCTAGATGAGAAAATAGAGGGGTTGTGAAAGCAAGCACATGGGAGTGTGTGGGGAAATGCTTTCAGGCTTTGGGAGTAGGAAACACACCCAAGGGTCTTCAGCACCGCCTAGTCACCCCGTGATCACCCTGGGGGGACCTTGCTGGGGCAGGAGGTGTCAGTGCAGCACGGAACTCAGCCCTGCTCCTCTGTGGGTTGGTGTCGCAGCACATTCTTGCTGGGCAGGGCCTGCCTGCTGACCCACCCCGGGCTGTGATTCCTGCTTGAGATTATATACTATGACGTCGATATTCCAGACAAGCCTGTAAAGGCGGGAAGAGTCCTGACACAGGGGTGGACAGTGTGGCTATGAGCCCTCCCGCTGGGCAGGTCACTTGCTGCTTTGAACTCTATAAAATGAGGGTAATCTTTCCCGTCTCACTGTGTGTCAGTGTTGTTAGAAGGATCAAATGAAGTAGTGAATAGTTATTTACAGTGCAGCTTACCTCACATCAAATACACTCAACAATATAAATGGAAATGTATAGCAGTATATCATAGGAAAGACGATTATTATTTGTGATGATGATGGTTACACTTGAAGTCATGCAGCTGAACAGGTCTGAGGAAGAAACCTCTACAGTCATCATCATCATAAAACAACTGGTGACACTTATGGGGTGTTTACTAAGTACAAGACACAATCAAGCTTTTATACAGATAACATCATTTAATCCATATAATTGAAACTTATGCAGTAGGTGTTACTAATTATGCCCATTTTCCAGATGAGTAAACCAAAGTCAAGGAAAGTATAACTTACTTACAGGCAAATAGTAAGGGAGAGAGTCAGGATGTACTTAGACTCCTTGGAGTCTAAAATATTGTTTCATGCTCGGTATAGTGGCCCATGCCTGTAATCTTAGCACTTGCGAGGCTGGGGCAGGAGGATTGCCATGAGTTTGAGGCCAGCCTGGGCTACATAGTAAATTCAAAACCAGCCTAGATTATGCAGTGAAATCCTGTCTAAAAAAATAATAAAATAAATAATTGACTCATGATTTTAGGTGAAATATGCATAGGCTATTGTCATAATATTGTTCAGTTTTTGCTTGGAATCCCACTTTACCATAGAGGAGTTTAAAGAATTAGACACTGACTTCGTCTTACAGGTACCCTTGGAAAATTTTGTTCTGTTTTTCCACCACAGAATAATCAAGATGCTTATTTCTTTGTTAAGAATCATGATTGAGTTGGGGAGTGAGGTTTTTTTTCCAGTACTGTGAGTTTTATTGGTCTTCAAATAACCAAATATCTGTCCTCAGTGTTCAGCTCCTAGTTTTGGTTTTGTGGATGAGATGCAATTCCAGCCAGTGCCACGGAACTCGAATCACTGCATCTTTAAATGCAAGACAGTGATGAATGAATGACTCTGATTCATTTCACTCCTCTGAGGATATCAACAACAATGTTAGGGCAGTTTTTTTTTTTTTTTTGTTTTGTTTTGTTTTTTTTCTTTTTCGTTTTTATCGGTACCAGGGATCGAACTCACGACTGCCTGCTTGCAAGGCCGGCGCTTATGCCGCTGAGCTAAATCCCTAGCCCCGTTAGGGCAGTTTTTAAAATCCATTTTTGTACCAATTTTTATAAGTATACATAGGTTTCTGTGTGTGTGTGTGTGTGTGTGTGCTGGGGATGAGCCCAAAGCCTCACGCATGCTCGGTGAAGTTAAACTTTACTTAAATATTTTAAAAAATGCTAACGTTAGTATCTAGAGTAATCTAAAGTATCTTAGATATGGATATACTTCAGTGTCCCTTTGACACTGAGACCTGGGCTGCTACCACACTGAAACCCAGCGTACTCTAAGAGAGAAGGGAATTGTCCTTGCAATCAACATTCTGTGGCTTTTCCCAGAGTCCCTCCACTCCAGTCAGTCTTGAAAGATGACTAAAAACTGTGGAGAACTAAATGTGGCAACCATGTGAGTGCTTTGTGT